CATCATTTCGCAATCAGAGAGCGCGACTCGTCTGTCTATTCCAAGCAAAAAACGAAACCGCCCAAACCAACCGATAGCAAACGATACCGGCGAAAAAGGAAGATTGAACAGCCTAAATCACTAAGGGAAAATCGAATCGAACCACGTGAACCTCGGAAGAGAGCAGAGAAACTACCGACGGCGGAAGAAGATCCCGATCGCGGCCGGGAAAGCGCGAGAGCCGGAGCGGCCGAGCCGGAGCCAGGGTTCCGAGCACCGCCGCCGCCTCCTCCGCGGCCGGCGCGGGGGCGGCGCAGGGAGCCGGAGGACGCGAGCTCCGATCGAGGCTCGGCGAGCGAAGAGGAGGACGACGGCGGAGGAGGAGGAGGAGACTTGTGGAGAGCGTTGGTGCGATCGGACAAGGGCTTCCTCCTCCTTCCGGCGATGGCCTTGCCGCCTCTGCTCATCCGCCTCGCCATCTGAACTTCCATTGTTGCGGCTTGCTCGCCGCGTAGAGATAGAGAGAGAAAGGGAGTGGGGGGAAGGAACGCGAAGCGCGTGTGGGAGAAGACGACTTGCTGCTTCTTTTTTCGCGGCAAAATCCGGTTCCCGGGTGCTGACGTCACCGTGACCCGTCGGGTCATGGGCTTTTGTTTTCTTTCGGGTCGAGGCTTGTGGGCTTGTTGACCAGGTCGTGGCCCATCGTGGTAATTTTTACTATTCAACATCTTTTTTTTTAATCTTAGACTATACTTTTTGGTCGGTAAATAAACTAATAAGAAAACCCAAAGATGATATAAACCTTTTTTCTTCCAAATTGTGTTACGAGGCATGAATAGTAGTGAGTCAGAAGTTTTATCCTTTGGCCATAATAAGTCAAAAGTACAAAAACTAGCTTTTCGATTCTATCCAAGCTTCTATTTTTTGGAATTCTATAGCCCCGTAAACACGATAGATATTTTTACTTGTGGTTATTTCGGAAGTACTTTATTTGCATTCATTGAAATCAATTTCGCGAACGCCGATCTCATTTTGGAAAAGAAAATGGTAAGTTTTTTAATACTTGACATGAAATGATTGACTTGGATTGATGAGAAGATCCTGCTTATGAAGAGAACTTCTCACGAAAATGGACTTTCCGGGACATCTTAAGCTTATTCCCAATCTCCTTCGCATGTAAGACTCAAGTTAGCTCCATTTGGGTTTGCTCTTCGTGGCTGCGTCTGATCAAGTTATCTGAAGGCTTCATCCATCAGGCATTTCTGCAGTTGGTAGCGCATGGAATTCTCTTAGACATGGTGTCATTTGGTCTAAAGTAATAATCCTAGCATACCAACACCACTCCATTATTTTCCTGGTTGGCTGTGCTGAATAGCCTTGCGACCGAGGATAGAATCTTGAAGCGGCATATGCAGGTTTTCTCCACCGTGTTGCTCGACCTAATAATGATGTAGAAGACAGAGATTGTCCGTTTTTCAGCTGTCCTGATTTCGATTAGAGTCTGGACCGCTGTTTTGGAATCGCATCTCATTCATCGAAATCCTGGTGCCTGGAATAATGAGGTGACTCGGGCTCTACAAATCGTCCTAGAATGCCTTTACACATACCATTTGGATTGCTAGGAATCAATGTTTACATGACTCCACCTCATCTGTCGATGTTCATCTCGATTGTGCAGAGGATTAAGAGCGTTGTCCGGGGAAGGATTCCTGGTTCCATGGATACTAGGAGGCATATGTGGTCGGACAGCGACAGAACATCTTGTTCTGGACGGGACCTCTTTGAGTTGAGTAACAGGAGTTGCTTCCCTGATTCTTCCCCGATAGTTGGAGGCGCATCGCCAACACGACATACCTTAGCTTGACGAATCCACCGAGTCTGACTCTCGCGCGCTCGACTTTTTCTTCACGGCCACTAACCGTCCAACACACACGAGGAATATTCACACCGTCTCTTCCCAAGAAGCTTTTCATTATGGTCCGCGCATCATCACATACGAAACGATTCTCTTCTGTAGGGCATATCGCTGCGTCCCGCACACACTTGTCCAGTTTGAGATTCCCATGGTAGGAGAGGAGGGTCCCCTAAAACGGTGTGGTTACGGACAGACTGGCCTCTCTAAACTTTTTTTGGGTTGGTTGATTATAAAATTAGAATTCATCCAATAAAAAAACTGGACGTGTTTTGCAATATTGAATTGCACATATTCGCTGGAAATGAGGTTGGAAAGTCCCTTTCTATATTCCTACCTTTCTAATTCTTCTCATAACGAACTCATGTCCATAAGGCCTTGTTTAGGACACACTCAAAAAGACATGAGACCAACCATCTCATCTTACCATAAATTTGTCCGAAGCAGCTTGGCTTTGACACTCTTGTCCTCCGCCAAGAATTATATCAGCACATTTGAAGCTTTTCGTGAACCTAAGCGAGTCGAAAAATACTATAGAGGGTCGAATGAAAATAACTGATTCTCTTTGAATTTCTGTTTCTATCAGAAGATAATATGAAGGGTTTGTTGGAAAAGCGAGAGAATGATTAACCCATTAGAGTACTAGTTTCGCCAAAATTATATGAGAGAATGAGGAAGAAACCCTCGAGGGCAGGATGGTCAATTCCCGTTGGCCGCGAAAAATATGCCGGCCTGCCATGATTGGCAAGCAACATAAGCTTCGTCCAAACAATGGCATATATGAGGATCTGGGAAGAGAAGGAGAAGATGTGAGCTCCAATCAAACAGTGAACGGGAACCCAATTCTCTCTGATAATCTCTCTGCCTGTGCCTGGTTTTTGGGTTGAACCTCTGATAAGTTTTGAATTCTGATCAAACTGTTGAAGACAAAACAGGCAGAAGGAGATGGATTGCTCCATATGCAGTTCATACCCGGTGATCATAAGGCCGCCGAGGAACACAATCTGCGGAAGCTGCTTGGAAGGGATCAAGACCGCGTTTAGCTTGATGAGCTCTTTTGAAGGCGGTGATGATCATGAAGCAGAGACCCCCAGATTAGAAAGCAACCGCAATCCCAAGTCTCTGGTCTCTCCCACCACCAAGAGCAAGGCAAGTTTCTCTTCTTTTGTTTCTGTTTTATTTTTCCATTTGATTATGCATCTTCACATTCATGTTAATGGTTTTCCATTGAAAGAAGCAATGCAACGTAGGCAAGCTCTGGTATTTTGCTTCCATCTCCTTCTGCTTTGTTTCTACGACTTCAAATTATGCAGGATATAGCTTGGCCCTCTTGTCTTGATCCCATTGCTTCAGCAGTGATTAACTGATTAAACTAAATTTAAAAGCTGTAATTGTGGATGGAAAAGCTCAGCTATTTTCCTGTCAGGATACATAGACATAATAATCACCCTCGGGCTTAAAGTCTCTCTGTCTTTCCGCAAGTCTAAATTAGAGTTCTAATGGGTAGCATATTGTCTGGCTTCTAGTTCATTTCATTTGGAACTTATTGCAAAAGTGAAGCTTTACTTCATTCGAGGTCATTAGACTCTCTGGCAAAATGAAAAAAGATGTGGTTTAGTTATGACTCCCCACGCACGCAACAGTTGTACTCCTTTTGGCTGTAAATAGACGTGGCACGGACTAATCCATGGAGGCAGTTTTTTTTCGGAATTGAAAATTGAGCTCTCTTGACCCTACAAACCCTATGGGACTTACTTTATACTAAAGTATCTTTCATGGTTTCAAATGTTACTAAGTTATATCTTAATGAATAAAACGTCTTTTTGAACCAAAACAAAGATTAACAAATACCCTTTCAATCACATATCACAATTCAGCGGAAAAAAGGGTCAATTCGGTTTGGACTTAGTTCCAAATGTACATGCCCTATAGTCAGGCCTAGTGCCTGTCCTAATGGATTAGCCTAATATTTTGTTTGAGCCTTCTTGGAGCTGCCGAACTAGGTAGGCATGGAATTTATTAAAAGCCCGACCGTTCAACATTAAATAAATCTAAGCTATAAAAAAATGAAAATGATACATGTGGGTTTGGAAGATACTCATCAAGTTGAGATTTTGATGCCCTTCCATCAACAATAACATCTGTCTTAAGAAAGTACGATTTAGTATTCTGTTTCTGAAACTCTAATTTGATTATCTAAATCAACAGGGACTAGCAGATCTTATTGAATGGATGAAACGCACAAAGCAGGTGGAGGATGAACTCTCCCAGAAGATCTCTTTCTTGGCCGGCTCTCTCGTTTCTGCTTTCCAAGAACAAATTCACACTGACCTCAAGATTAAGCCTTCCAATGGCCCTCCAATTTCTGCTCATAGAGCCATCTTGGTAGAGTCTCTCGCTCTTTCTCTCAAAGAATCAAATATGTGTGAATTTGTTCTGCAATTTTCAAAGATGTGGTCTAAGTTCTCAACTGTAATTCTTGCCAAACTTAGGGGTTGGGGTCCTCTTATCATTTCCAAATTGACTTTTCTGTCTATATGTTAGGTTAAATCATGTATGTGTTCCCTATGCTTGACAAAAGTATTGTTCCACTCATAGGCAGCAAGATCACAAATCTTCAAGAACATGCTGGACTCGGACTCATGCAAGTCCTCACCGAGAGACACCGTGACCATCGCTGAGCTGACCCACGAAGAGCTTGAATCGCTCCTGGAGTTCCTCTACAGAGGGAGCCTTGCGCCCGAAAAAATGGACAAGCACATCTACTCATTGATGCTTGCAAGCCACAAGTACGAAATCTCGTACTTGCACAAGTCTTGCGAACAGCACATGCTCGAGAATCTGAACGTTTCCAACGCACTCGACGTCCTGGAGATCTTGGATATTTGCTCCCACCAGAAGTTGAAGGACGTTGTGTTGAGTTTCGTTGTCAAGAACATCGATGACATAGCTTTCTCCGCTAAGTATGAGGCCTTTTGCTCCAAGAACCCGCATTTGAGTGTACAGATCACGAGGGCGTCTTTGATTGATGCAAGGGATAGGAGGAGAACTTGAAATCATCGTTGAATCAAATGTAGTTGGATGGAGTTGTATTGTCCATATTCTAATCTTTCTGTGATTTTGTACTGCGATCTATTCGCATATACAGTGAATTGCGCATGTAGTACAGGAAGAGCGCGCCATGTTGGCATAAAGGAGTGTGCAAATGAAAAGACCTTCGAAAAAATCAAGTCAAACTAATAAATCAAATCAAGAGACGTCTGTGCAACGAAATGAGGAAACCGAGGACTAACTGACAACGAATCTTCTTGTTTCTTTCTATTCATACAAGGGTAAAAGTACACTATAAGTACTATAACTTGTGTACGGCGATTACTTTTGTGCCATAACTTTTTTTCGGATCACTTTGGTGCCAAGTCGGAGGAAAATAGATCACTTTAGTGACTCCGGCCAAAATTCCGGCCAAAAAGCTGACCTGGCATTTATATTAAAAAAAAAATGGTTTGACTTGTACACGTGAAAATTATGTGGCTTTTTTTCGAATTTTTTAATTTTTAGAAAAATAATAATAATTAAAAAAAAAAGGTTGCAGCAGCGGCGAGGGAGCCCTCGCTGCTGCTGCCGCCAACCCACCACCGCCGGGAAGGGCCGGCGATGGTGGGCGCAATGGGTCGGCGAGGGTCGCCGGCCCGGCCGGGGCCTGACCCTCGCCTCGCCCGGCGAAGGCGAGGCCGACCTCGCCGTCGCGACCCACGCGACGGCGAGGTCGGCTCGCCTTCGCTGGGCGAGGCGAGGGTCGCCGGGCCTCGGCCTAGGACCGGCGACCCTCGCTGGGCGAGGTGAGGGTCGCCGGGCCCCGGCCAGGGACCGGCAACCCTCGCCGATCACTGTGCCCACCACCGCCGGCCCTTCCCGGCGGTGATGGGTTGGCGGCGGTGGTGGGTTGGCAGCAGCGGCGAGGGCTCCCTCGCCGCTGTTGCAGCCCTTTATTTATTTATTTATTTATTTTTATTTATTTAATTTTTTTTAAAAAAGTACACGTCAGCGGGCTAAACGGCGTCGTTTTTGGTTTTTAATGCTAACTGGACCTCTCCGGCGAGCCGTGTCAGCGCCACATCGGATTTCCGGCGAGCCACGTCAGCATTGGCACTAAAATGATCGTTTTTCAAAAAAGTCGGCACCAAAGTGATCCGAAAAAGTTGACACATTGTTTGTAACTTCTTTAGTTAGTTGGCTGATGTTTAAGCCTTCTTGTACTGCTTTCATACCTTGTCTAGCCGTAACACCTTTGCACCTGTTGGGACACATAAAGGTGTCGCTATATGTGCGGGGTTTTTGTGTTCGGTTACCATCCCTGTAAGCATGGATTTGAAAAGTTTATACAATACTTAACTTACCAAAAAAAAAAGTGATCCGAAAAAAAGTTATGGCACCAAAGTGATCGCCGTACACAAGTTGTGATACTGCTGGTGTACTTTTGCCTTCATACAAGTATGGGGGCGACAAGTCAAGCCTGTTTGGTGTCACAGAAAGATGAGATATTTCTTATATAACAATCTTGATTTGTCCAACAATCCATCACCATTCCCCATCACCATTGAAGAGTATAAGCACCATTTCTTTTGCTCTGATGTATCCTTGGATCCCAGAAATAATTGGAACTGAAGCCTCTGTTGCTTTGTGCGATCGCGAGAGAGAGAGAGAGAGAGAGAGAGAGAGAGAGAGAGAGAGAGAGAGATGTGAGGAAGAGACTGGTGTCACAGGGAGGTGGTTCCATTTTCAGTTGTGATCACCTCGGACAGCATCACAGTAGGTATGACTACACTATTGCGGAAGCCAAGCGATCGAATAATAAAATTGACAAAACAAGAAAATAAATCGGACATCAGATTTACGTGGTTCGGTCGTAGTGATCTAAGTCTACTGGGAGAGCAGCACGGAATTCCACTATACATCAAGCAATATAACGGAGATTACAACTACACTCGAGTCACTCAACCACTCTTAGTGTTTCTGAAATCCCAATTACACTCAATAGCTCACGCAGTGTTTGGCTCCAGAATTCCTCACGAAATAATCTATCAATCTCACGAAGGAATTATACATAAATCTTACCACAAGATTTACGCTTGAACACTAATTCTTCTTGGATGTAATCCATGAACAAGAATCCACGAAAACACCCACTGTCAAGCACTCACGAACGCGGCGCTTTCTTCTTCATGCACAATAAATAGTGCTTCTTGTTCACTTGCACAGCACACCAAGCACTCGCATCAGGGTGCTTCATCCGACCAAAGGACCAAGAACTATATATATATTACCAAAGAAACAATCAGTGGCCTAATTCAATACACAAAAGAAAGTCCAGGTAAGATACGGTCAATCATTATCCAACTTGGGCTTTTCTTTTCTTTGACCTATGACTTCAATATGAATAAGGAAAGTAATCTTTTTCTTTCTTTCGTTCTTGGCCGACTTCACTACAGATATTGATTTGGGAAAATACCACCAAAAATCCTAAACTATGCCATTTGTGATAAATTTACCTTGACCATTTTTTTTTTGGGGAATGACACTAGAAGTGTCAAAAGTTATGTACGGCGTTCACTTTGGTGCCAAAAGTTTCATTTGGATCATTTAAGTGCCAAATTTTTTGAAAAACGATCACTTAAGTGTCAACTCCGGTCAGTTTGGCCGGAAATCCGACATAACATTTTTTTTATTAATTTCTGAAGCCGATGTGGCTCGCCGGAGATACAGTCAGCACGTACAGTCAGCATTTTTTATTTTAAATAATTTTTTTTCTTTTTTTTTCTTTTCTTTCTTCTCCCTTTGGTCACCGCCGGTGACCGGAGGCCGGCCGCCTGGCCTCGCTCGGACGAGGCCGCTGCCGCCCGCCACAGGCGAGGCCCGGCCGACCCTCGCCTGGGCGACGGCGGGCAAGCCCCGGCTAGGTTGGCCTCGCCTCGCATGGGCGAGGGCGAGCCCCGGCGAGGGCTCCCCTCGCTAGATCTGACGAGGCCGGCCGTCGCCCAGGCCACGGCGGGCCCGCCGGGTGTATTTTCCCTATTGATTTTGGTAGAATACCAACAAAGTCCAAGTTGGACTTTCCTTTTGCAGTGGGTGAAGACTCCAACTCACATTCGGAAAGCTAATTTCCGAAACTTGGCCTTGGATTCTTCTTTTTATTTCTAAAATTTAGATTTTCGCTTCGGACTCAAACTCGAGACATAATTTTAACAATCTCCACCTTGGCTTGACGTTTGAGTCAAGTCACAATCATTTCGTCGGAATTTCGCTATTACTCTCCCACAGCCCCAATGGGCTCAACCGCCACAGACGTCTTTCAAGTCCAAGCCTCGATTGAATTTCTCCATAACCGTGGACCTCTTCAGAACACCAATTCCGCATGCATATTTAACTGCTCCATAACGATTTTCTAGATATAACCTCCTCAACCGCAGATAAAGCAAAATCATCATTGCATTTATATCTATCAGGAAATCCAATATGCACCTTGTCAATATTAGCAGTTACAGCAACTGTTGGCTCTACATGCTCCACATCGCTACAAGCACCATATGTGTCGATTATTTCGTTAGTACTCACTACCTCAGGAGTTTCTGATTGCAACTCCACCTCAAGCTAAACACCGTTCAGATCCGTACAAACACTGCTATAATCACTCCTAGCCAGAAGTACTAGAGACTCGTCAAATGTAACTTTTCTGCTGATAACACGTAAATTTAATTCCGGGCACTACAACTTATAGCCCCCTTCACCTTGTGCATAATCTTGGAACATGCACTTTTTTGCCCTTCCGTCGACCTCACCATCACTAACTTGAACATAACATGGGCAACCAATATTCTAAGAACAGAATAATCAGCAACGTTACCTGACCACACTTCTTCGGAAGTCCGACATCTAATCGTAGTCAATGGGGATCTATTCTTTAGGTAGTTCGCCGTACTAAGCACATCCGCCATGAATCTCCTAGCCATACCAGCACTAGAGATCATTTTATGGGCCGTCTCTAGTTATATTCTGCCCATCAACTCTGCAACCTGTTGTAGTTCAATGGCACTAGTGCGGTGTCTCATTATGCCTTCCTTCATGCAGAATTCATTTAATAGCTTCGAGCAAAACTCCATACTATTGTCAGTCTGCACCTGCTCGATTGTTTTACCAGTCTCCTTTTCGATCAAAGATTTCAATTGCCTGATCCTGATAACAATATCAAACTTGTGCCTAAGCACAAACACCCAAGTCTTCCTCGAGTAGTCATCAACAATTGTTAGCATAAATTTGACATTCTTCCTCGAAGGAAATCACGACAACCTGCGAACATCCAAGTGAATTAATTCTGCAATATCCGTGGTTTCTCTGACAATCGCACTAAACTGCACTTTTCGCCATTGATTTAAGTCACAACACCTGCATACATTCAGTTCATCAGCAACATAACCACATAGCAAATTTCTTTCACTTAGAACCTTCGGGCTTTTCTCGCTAATGTGTCCCAAACGCATATACCACAATTCAGACTCTCGAACTGATACATTCAACATCTCCACAGCGAATTCCGTCACTATCTCACCTTGAAGTTCATAAAGGCCACTATGCTTGATTCCTTTCATTATCACCAAGGCACTTCGAAAAACTTTCAGAACTTCACATTCTGAAAAATACCGACACCCAGCTGAATCCAAGGCACTAAAGGAAATCGGATTTTTCTTCTTCTCTGGAACATGCATCACTCCAGTCAATGTTCACACAATACCATCATGCATTATGATTTTAATATCACCAACACCTACAACAGTGCACTCAACATTGTTCCCCAATTGCACTTTACTACAATCCGTGCACTGATAAGTAGTAAATCAGTTCATGTTTGGTGTAGCATGAAAAGAACAACCAGAATCCATAATCCATCCGCCAAACAACAAATAATCAGTGACAGACAAGACAAAATCAACACTATCCGAATTACTATATGCTATTGCTGCAATATCATCCGCAGACTCAACTCTAATCTCCTTACCCTTCTCGTTCTTTAGCTTAAGGCAATCCCTTCTAAGATGCCCCTTCTTGCCACAATTC